TGAGTTTGAATGGACCAAACTGGACAATTTGAGGACAGAGCTGAATGAAAGAACCCTTTGATACAAGATTTTCATGGGAAAATATTTTCCAAAAACAAAAATGACTTCATGAAATAGACAGCCAACCAAAAGACAGATGAGGAATGATTTATTGGGCCCCTAATTTATTCCAATTACTATTCATCAAAGCAGTCAATCTAGTTTATTAATAAATAAATATTAACTAATACTATTTATTAATATTAAAATCAATGAAGAATTACATATTAATAAAAATGTACATATATCTAGGGATAATTAGATAAGATACATTCTTTCTTTTAATGGGCCACAAACTTTAAACTACTAGCTATAAGTTCACTGTTCAATGTTCACTAACCTGTTATCAATTTCACTTGCCTAACCACAAGAATGCTGACTACAGGACTTCTGCCCTTTTGGGTGATGAGTGTGTGACCAAGCCCAGTGTGGGTGGGATGTCTTGATATGATATGGAAAGTCCTCCAACTTCTTTTGGATCTCCAAAACACTCTCTTGCCTATCGTGAGGAAGGGCCCATCTTATGACCACTTAGTGGAGATGACCCTTGCCTTGCCCATCCTGTGACCACCCATGGTGATACATTGTTTCTGGACCACCTGAAGGGTCAAGAGCAAGGTATATCAACCAACAGAACTGTATTTTACTTTGTCTCTTCTGAGTGTCTTGGCATCAAGTATGGTAACAGTAAAGCCCTGGAGACAAGGGACATTGTGAGCAAGATCTGAGGTCCCATTCATTAAAGGGTTCCTTTAATAAATGGTTATTGGCTCCAAGATCTGTTTCAGTGGTTTTTCTTGTACCCTGGACAATTTTGGACCCCACACAGAAAAATAACACTGCTGTTTAAATTGACATTAATGAAATATTGTACATAGGAGTTTGGCTAAACCCTTAAGATTTCCCAATACTGGTGTTGCATTAGGGACTTAAGAAAAGGAGAACATGAAACACAAAGGAATATCTGATTGGGTCATTTGAGGCTGGTTGCCAGTACTAGATTGACTAAATGTGTATTACTAGATGAGTATATCACTAATAGTTGCTAACAATCATTACCCCTATGGATGTACCCTGAACTGATAAATACTTATTGGAATAAAATAAGGGTCCAATAAATCATCCCTCACCTTTCTTTTTTTTTTTATGGTAATTTTTATTTATTTTTTGTTTTCAACATTTACTTCCACATGATTTTGAGTTTTCACCCCATCTCACCCCTCCCCTCACCCCAAGATGGCATGCATTCTAAATACCCCTTCCCCTAGTCTGCATTCCCTTCTATCTCTCCCCCCCCTTCTCATCCCTTCCCCCTTCAATTTTCCTGTAGGGTAGGATGGATTTATGTACCCCATTTCCTGTATTTCTTATTTCCTAGGTGCATGTGAAAACATTTTTTTTTAAACATGTGTTTTTAAAACTTTGGGTTCCAAATTTTTTCCCTTCCTCCCTCTTCACCCACCCTCATTGATAAGGCAAGCAACTAAATATAGGTTATATATGTGCAGTTATGCAAAACACTTCCATAGTAGACATGCTGTGAAAAACTAACTCTATTTCCCTTAATCCTATCCCGCCCACCCATTTATTTTATTCTTTCTTTTGACCCTGTCCCTCCTCTGAAGCATTTGCTTCTGATTACTGCCTTTCCCAATCTGCCCTCCTCTCTATCATTCCCCTACTCTCTTGTCCCCTTCCCCTCCTGTTTTCCTGTAGGGTAAGACAGATTTCCACACCCAATTGAGTGTGTATGTTATTCCCTCCTTAAGTCAGATCCTATGAGAATAAGATTCACTCATTCCCTCTCACCTTGCCCCGTTTCCCCTCCGCTGTAAGAGCCTTTTCTTTTCTGTTGTTTTTTTTTTTTTTGTGGGATAATTTACCCCATTCTACCTCTCCCTTTCTCCTTCTCCTAGTATATTCCTCTCTCACCCCTTAATTTTATTCTCCAGATATGACACCTTCATTTTCAATTCACCCTGTGCCCTCTATCTACCTATTTATATCTGTGTATACATACATATAAATTTTCCCCCTCCAACTACCCTAAAGCTGACAAAGGTCTCAAGAGTTACAAATATCATCTTTCCATGCAGGAATGTAAACAGTTCAATCTTAATAAGTCTCTTATGATTTTCTCTTTCCTGTTTACCTCTTCATGTTCCACTCGAGTCTTGTATTTGAAAATCAGATTTTCTATTCAACTCTGGTCTTTTCATCAGGAATGCTTGAAAGTCCTCCATTTCACTGAATGACCATTTTTTCCCCTGAAGGATTATACTCAGTTTTGCTAGGTAGGTGATTCTGGGTTGCAATCCTATCTCCTTTGCTCTCCTGAATATTATATTCCATGCCCTGTGGTCCCTTAATGTAGAAGCAGCTCAATCTTGTGTTATCCTGATTGTGTTTCCACAATACTTGAATTGTTTCTTTCTGGCTGCTTGTAATATTTTCTCCTTGACCTGGGAACTCTGGAATTTGGCTACAATATTCCTAGGAGTTTTCCTTTGGGGATCTCTTTCAGGAGGAGATCAGTGGATTCTTTCAATTTCTATTTTGCCCTCTGGTTCTAAAATATCAGGACAGTTTTCCTTGATAATTTTTTGAAAGATAATGTCTAGGCTCTTTTTTTGATCATGGCTTTCAGACAGTCCAATAATTTTTAAATTCTCTCTCCTAGATCTATTTTCCAGGTCAGTTGTTTTTCCAATGAGATATTTCACATTGTTTTCTAATTTTTCATTCTTTTGGATTTGTTTTATAGTGTCTTGATTTCTCATAAAGTCACTAGCTTCCAATTGCTCTATTCTAATTTTTAAGGAAGTATTTCCTTCAGTAAGCTTTTGGACTTCCTTTTCCATTTGGCCAATTTTGCTTTTTAGGGCATTCTTCTCCTCATTGGCTTTTTGGACTTCTTTTGCCATTTGGGTTAGGCTATCTTTTAAGGTGTTATTTTCTTCAGTATTTTTTTGGGTCTCCTTTAGCAAGCTGTTGAGTTGTTTTTCATGATTTTCTTGCAACACTCTCAGTTTTTCCTCTACTTCTCTTACTTGCTTCTCAAAATCCCTTTTGAGCTCTTCCAAGGCCTGGGACTGATTCATATTTTTCTTGGAGGCTTTGGATGTAGGAGTTTTGGCTTTGTTGTCTTCTTCTGGTTGTATGTTTTGATTCACCAAAGTAAGATAATATAGTCTGACTCTTTTGCATGCTTACTCATGATCCCAGCCAATTACTTGAGTTTTAGACTCTTTGTTAAGGTAAAGGTCTGCTTCCAATGTGAAGAGTGAGTCCCAAGCTTTGGGGGTTTGTACAGCTGTTTTCAGAGCTACTTCT